TGGAGAAAATACTGGATCAGTATATCACAGAAGTCAACCTAAGCGAACAGTCTCTGAACAAGAACCCATTTTCCTATCAAGCATGCAAATCCACTGAGACAGCCATTCATAGCCTCACCTCAAAAATTGAGAAAGGTCTAGAGTCTAAAAATATAGCCCTTCGTGGCCTTTCATTGACATTTCGGGGGCTTTTGATAACACATTATATAAGGCAATAGATGGTGCCTTGATGAGCAAGGGTATAAGCCCAATAATAAATAAATGGGTTCTATCAATGCTAAGAACACGTAAAATCAGTTTGGAATTAGGAGGCACTACAGAATCGATAGCTGCCACAAAGGGTTGCCAAAGGTTGTCTGTCCCCTGTAGAATTGAAAAGACACAAGTGCTGAAATCTCTGCCGCAAGCGGTTTTCGCCTCGCCCCACTCAGTGTTATACCAACATCCCTTTATTTTTAGTCTGCAGGTGGTCTTTAAGGATTCCCCAAGTATGAAGACACAAAGTTATGGTAAGTGAAGCAGTGCGTCAAGAGCAATATATACCACTCAAAAAAAAATATTGTTAAATAATGAGGCTATCAAGCAACCATTTGGGTTCTTTACTATCGAAGCCAGATAGTGGACCCCCACTTACAATTGGTGGACCCCCACATTTTTTTTCACGCCAACGTAGACCCTCAGCGAGTCTCCCGTGGACCCCTGGACCTGTACAACTTTGGGAATCACTGGTTTAAGCACTCGTTATTTTGCTCGCAATTTAACGAAATAAAATAATGTAAAAATATTTTTAAAACAAACTCTTATGTAGCATGTGCATTAAAAGTTGAATTACTAAAATAAATATACATATGTACTTAGGTACACATCCCCAATGAAAATTAATACCGTTATCATTTAGCTTTTATTAACCTTGACAAATGCTTTCACTTCATTTCATTTATTATCAAAATTAGTACATAAGATAAGATATTAGTACATAAGAATTACCTTCTTTTTTAGTACAACAAATATAGGTATAAAATACAATAGAGCTTACATTGCATATGAGACAACAGATAGAACACTGGATATGAGACAATAGACAGAACTTATACTGCATATGAGACAACAGAACAAAATCAACTATCAAACGTTAACAATTTAAACAAAATGTAATTACAACTGAACTTTGACCTATTAAATTTTGGAAATATACCGAGCACCGCGATACTTTTCGGCAAACATTTTTTAGAGTTATTTCTTTTCATGTAGTTAATATACCAAATATCTTCACTCCTACACCACCAATCGACAAAATATTTTGTGGAGTGATTTCTTTTCATGGAAGTAATATATTTTCTAAATATAAGCTAAAATAGACCATAGATGCAGTTTTCAAAATATTTCGACCCCCGTACCACCTATCGACCAAATTTTTTGTGTAGTTATCTCTTGTAATGTAGGTAATGTACACTCCTAATATGAACGAAATCAGACCATAAATGTGTGAAGTTAAATAAAATATAATAAAAAGTTATTAAACACTGTAAATCCAAATGAAAAATATTTGTTAAAGTTGAAGGACTGACGTACACGATAGAACTTTATTTATATTAACAAATCTACGTTTAGGTTAGGTTAGGTTATAAATTTATTAATTACACATGATTTATATCTCTTGTAGGATTGGCACCCTTAACCCAACCACTCTGTGATGAATTATACATAATTTATGTATTTAAAATTTTCTTCCAGAGATTTCTAAAAGTTTCAGCAATAAAAAGGAATATGATGTTTGCCTCTCCCTTCACACATTCCCTTACAAACGAATCGTGTCAGGTTTTATTGAGCTTCTGACCTGGAAACCCTGGGTATAAGAAGAACGACGCGCATTTAATACGGCCAGAAGGCCACTTTTTGTTGCTGGAATTCGTTAATAAACCCTTCTTTATTTTGTGACTAGTACCCGTCCTGGTACCACTAACGACTCGCCAGAAGTGAGTACTACACCTTTTCCAAGAGTACTTCGTAAAGCGACAAATGTACTTCAGAATAATCAGTTGTACTTCAGAAACAGTTAAATGTACTTCAGAATAATCAATTGCGCTTCAGAATAGTCAATTGTACTTCCGAAACCGGAAAATGTACTTCAGAAGACGAAAATTATTACCTATTGTAATTATTTAAATAGTATATATGTAATTATCAATTTTAAGTAAATTAATTTTTTTAATATCCTTTCCAAATCACCTACAAGTACATAAAAGAAGTTCTTTATCAAGAAAATATGCCAATTCAGTTTTTATAATGATTTTTTTTTTATATTGCATCCAAAGTAAATTACAATTGAATATTATAAACATTATATTATTTAAAGGTTTTAATTATAATTTCTTTCTTAATTTAGTTTTTATTAATGCTAAACCAAAAAATTTGCGCTCAGCTGCGGCGGAACTGTGAGGCAGACTAAAAATATTATGAACTAAATCACACAATTCCCCAAAGGCCGCTTCACCCAATCCATTTTTAGTCAAACTTACTTGATCGCAAAAACGTTCTCAATTGGTACACGTTTTGAAGTTACCTTCACTCAGCCTCAATTTGATACATCAGTATCAGGAAGAACTTTTTGTGGTGTAATGATTTCAAAATGTTTGATATCTTTTCGATTGAAATCGAATATTATTTTCATGTGCTAAATGCTACGATTAAAGTTTTGCTACCGTTCCATATTTTTGCCAGCCACTTTAATATTGGTCACCGAGTAATTGAAATTAGCAAGAAACCTCGATATTTTTTGAAGCGTGCTTTGACAGATGATTAGCCATACCATATTTGAAGATCAGTGGCAAGGCAAGTTCACACTTTTAGCAGGTGTTACCCATGGACCCTATCATCGTCATCGTCGACGATCGTCAGCGAATCAGTAGCATGGCTGACGATGGCCATATCGTCACATTTACTGACGATGTCGATATTCAACATAGGGCGGAATATTTATCAATTAAATAGAAAAAATTGACTACGCGAAACTAATGCATAAAGTGAAAGGGTGATAATAACCTAACCAAAAGCTTGTGAAATTGACCATTTTAAAAAGAATTGGACCAATGGACCAAACGAAAATAAATGGACCAAATTTGGTCCATTTGGACCAAAACGGCAACCGTGCTCGCAATGTCTACATATACATTTCAGAATGAACCAATTAAATAATGAATGCAGATTTGAATTATGTTCCAACTGGCTTATCGAATAAAGTTAGTGCATCGGGATGAAAAGGGTATAATGTTGAATTGCTCTGCCACAATCGCCACCAACAACTGTCGCTTTTCCCCCGTCATGTAATAAATGCTGGCACGGTAAAATGCGGACTATGTACAAGTATATATCCTTCCGCTTTTTGCAGGTATTTATGGCAAACTACATACTTTACATTAGCTTTAGTTGTTACCTAATATCCAATTTTTTTATTAATTATTTATTATTTTATCAAGTTCAAAGTCTTGTAATTTTCATTTGATTGTGATTTGTTGCACCTAAAGCATTTTTTATAGTAATTAAACTGAATGAGAAAATATAAATATAAATGCGTGATTGCCAAATCAGCATGAAGCGGAAGGCTATAGTCCGCATTTTACCATGCAAGCATTTGCTACATGCATTATGTTCAAGGGAAATTGTAGAATCTGGGTCTTGTCCGATTTGCAGAAAAGTTATTACCGGTAATGTGTTTTTTACCGTAAACTACAAATTATTTTAAGATATAAATGTTGTATTAAATTTATATGTTTACTAGCCGGCCACGGATGCGCGAGGCTTCGCCACGCGCTGAATATATGCATATGTATGTACATTAACGTATTTGGAGAAAGAAATCATGTCATCATGTACTTCGTTTATTATATACATAAAAAATCTTGTCTAAATCCGTTCAGTAGCGAGGTCAAAATATCTCGCCTTTCCTTTATACTATGTACAGAATATAGTAATTTTAAATAGGTGGCAACCCTACCCAAAAAACTTAAAGTTTTTGTACATGCGAAGGCCATGCACTTTCATTTGGTATATTATTTTTTATCCAACGAACGGTGAAGATCTGATAGTTTTTAAACAGGTGGCAACCCTACTCAGATAAATAACACACTATTACACATCCAGAGGCTAAGTCTTTTCGTTTGACAGTGACGGTACAGAACTGGTACGCTTATTATGATTGAATATGGTAATTTTATTAACAGCTGACAACCATATTAAAAAAATATATTAGTGCCTTTCTAGAGGCCAATCCGTTTCATTTGACACCTCATCTTTTGTAATCCATCGAACGGAGCGGATCTTATAGTTTTTTAGAAAGGTGGCAACCCTATTAAAATTCTAATTTAAAAAAGATCCCTCTCCTGTCGATACAGAGTATAATAGGAAAAATGTCGTCAACATCCGTTCAGTAGTTTTCGAGATTATCGCGTACAAAGAATCTTGACTTTCCTTTATACTATGTGTTTGAGATTTGTTCAACATACAAGTCGGCAACCCTGGCGATAACCTAACAGTTCCGATAAGTTCATCGATTTTGCTCTAAGTTTTCTGACATCGACACATCACTGGTTTGCTGTTCTTTGAATTAGCTTTTTCTCAGGCAACGAGTACAACCCAATAAAGATTCTTAGAAAAGTTACCCGACTCCTTTTTTAATTCGCGAACATTTTGGTGCCTCCTGTGAGGATTGATCTCACACGTGGTATTTTTGGAATTCGTTGATCATCGCTTCAAGTGCAATTCACCCGCTATTTCGCTTAAGTTGTCAAGGTTTTCACGTTAACCAATAGCTGGCGAACATCTGCACATAAAATAACGGACCGTAAATTCCAACGATTTTGCGCTGTTGTTGAGCTAACGACAACTTGTGGTTTTTATAACTGCGCGACTACGGTAACGGCAACGCATTCGCCGTTATATATAGATATATATATATATTTGGCCGCTACGTGTAACTTCGGCTAGACTATATCCAAATAGCAATGGCTCAACTTAACCTCCGCTCAGCATCACAATCTTCGATTCTCACGACCAAGGGCGAAGTGGAAGCTGAAAATTATGCACCGGACATGGTAGAAATTGATCATACGGTGGAATTGCTTTCCACGCACTTTACTCGTTTCATGGATAACCATATGGTGTTGGTTGGCGCAGCCAAGCCCGAAGAGCTTGCGGTCCACGACGCATTGTTAGCAAAAATGGAACTAGCCTATAGAGTGGTGTCCACTAAACGGCAACGGTTGCGAATGGCTGCAAAGGAAGATGTGGCTTCAGTTCGCAGAATGGCAGAAATGAAGCTTGACCCCATAAAGCTACCAATTTTCGATGGACAACAAGAGAACTGGCTTGTGTTCAAGGATATGTTCGAATCCCTTGTTCACAACCGAGCAGAGTTCGACCCAACATATAAGCTTAGTCGTTTGCGCCAATGCATAAGGGCGGATGCTGTACCCACGGTAGCGTTTACACTGGGGGTTACGAGCAGCTTTGGGCAGAGCTACAATCCACGACGCTTAGTTGAAGCACACATAAATAGACTACTGGATCTGCCAGAACTTCCAAGTGAGTCACAACGGAGAATACGCGATGTTATTGATGTGGTGCGTAGTACATTGCGGGCCTTAAATGTGATGGGCCTACCTACGGATCAGTGGGATGCCATTATGTACCCCATCATTCTTCGGAAGCTGCCGTCCGCTACAGTCGCGCACTGGACGATTAAAAGCCACTCAGATAAGCTACCTGAGCTTCAAGGCATGTTAGAAGAGGTCGAAACTTACGCGGACACCCTCCGTAGCGATTCAATGACGCAGCAACGTCGCCAGCAGCCACCGCGTTCGGCCAAGTCTCACATGGTGACAGCTTCGGTTACCAATGCAGCGGCGCGTCCGGTGCTCAACTGTCCACAGTGTTCAGAGCCACATCGCCTGATGAAATGTCAGCAGTTCCGCTCGTTGGCCGTGGATCAGCGCCTGCATCTGGCTCGACAAGGATCACTGTGCTTTAACTGTTTGAGCCCGGGGCATACGGCCCGCGAGTGTAGCTCCGGCCTTTGCCATATATGTAAGCAAAAACATAATACGCTGCTTTGCAAAACCGCTCCGTTGGAGAAATCATCGGGCATACCCAATAGCGGTCTACGCACCTCAGCCGGAACTACGACGATGTCGGCCACATCAGATTGCAAGACCGGACCACAAGTTCTACCCCGAGTTGATGCAGTGCAGACTCTACTGGCACAATCAGATGACATAGTGCTGTTAGCCACCGCTATCGCTCCCATCTTGAACGGGTGTGGAGAAGAGCGAAAATGTCGCATACTCTGTGACATGGGTTCACAGGTGAGCTTTGTTACTGAGTCTTTGTTTAATGAGCTAAATCTCCCTAGAAACCGAAAGGAACTGGTAATAGAAGGTATAGGCGCTCAAGACAAGGTGGCTTCGCGTGGTCAGGCAACGTTGACAATGCGCTCTCTCTACGATCCAGAGTTGTCGTTCGATGTGCATATCCTACCTACTATCCCGTCTAACATTCCAGCAGTACCCGTAGATGCCAGCATTCACAAGCATCTAGAAGATCTTCCACTAGCGGATTCTACCATTCATATACCAGGGCCCATTGAAGTGTTAGTTGGAGCCGATGTGTGGGGCATGCTCCTCTGTAATGGTGTCGTAACTAATAGACCAGGCCAACCAAGCGCTCTCCAAACGCGACTCGGCTGGGTTGTCTTGGGGCCCACATCTCCGAAGAACGTCGCGCTGCCAGCGTTGCGCAATTGTACCGAAAATGCCAACGAAGATCGGCTTGACTACTTACTGGAGCGATTTTGGCTACAAGAGGAAGTTTCGCCCACCCCGCCCAAAGATGATGATTGTGAGGCGATATTTCGTAGAACGGTTTCACGCGACTCCGAGGGTCGGTACGTTGTTCAAATACCTTTCCACCCCGAGGCGCCAGCTCTAGGAGATCCATACAGAAATGCTCTTCGTCAGTTTTTGCGAGTGGAGCGCCGCTTACACAACGAACCGGACAGTGTAGATAATAAAAAGGGTAGAAGAGCACTGCAAAGTTCGCAATGCTTTCCTAAAAGATGTATCAATCTCCGCAATTGCAAATCATGCAAGTTGGACCTTATACAATTAAAAGTGTACACCACCAGCCAGCAACCATTAGCAGTGCCGTAAACAAGGCCAAGCGCGCTGAATACGTCATTGAATTCCTATAAACAAGCCGGAAAGCAAGTTTTATATACCGATGAAACAAATTTCAATTTATTCTGTTGTCATAAGCGAGATCGCGATCGCTGTGGATGTAGAGCAGTTCAAATACTACCAGCTGCGCGAGGACCAAACATTCACCTGATGGGAGCTATCGCCACTTGCGGAGTGGTAGCGACGGAGCGTCGGCGCGGTTCCTTAAAAGCTTCGGACTCATGTCAGTGGATCCATACAGTGCTACAGAAGTGGGGAAAACCCCGGGGATTTGGTATATATATTAGTGGTGTTCTATTAAACAGATAAATTTGCCTTTCGCATATAGATATACTTTTATCCACTGCTTTATATGAACGAACAAAAAATAATATTGGTTGGCCCTTATCGAGAAACTTGGGTGCGGTTTAGTTATTTGAACAATGTTTTTCGGTTGTTGTGTCCAAATTCATGACCCGAATCTGAAAACTTTAACATACACGTGTATTTATTCAAAGGACTAAAATTTTAATTTAAATAAAGGTTTCAAATACGGTTTGCACAAT